GGAGGATGCAAGTGAGTGTGTTGCCCCTTTGACATCAGATGCCATGAGCAAGGGGCCAGCAGCTGAGACAGGCGAGTCTGCCGTCTCTTCCCTTCATGTCTGTGCAAGCTCTTATCGCAAGAGCACACCTCCAGGCTTCCCTTCACCCAGACCCCGACGGAGAAGGAGCACTGCAAGAAAAGCTGACTTTTCCTCAAGACAAGCAAGACCAAGGAGGTTTAATGCATGCAGCAGGAAAGGAGCCAAGGCTGGGAAATGCCAAAGGCCAAGAAAACCTTTCTTGACTTCCCATTCCATGAAGCAGAGAGGCAGAGAAATCCCCATACGCCTCTGGCTGGATGTACCTGTGAGCATATACCTGGACGGCACACAGGAGGCAGTACAAGGGGCCAAGAGAAAAGCAGGCAGCAAACGGAGGAGCAAGGGTGTGGCCGTCCAGGTCCCTTCTCTGTCCTCTGTTGAGCTGGTGCCAGACAGGAATCAAACAGATTCTTCTTGTGGACGGAGGGATGGCAACGAGGGGGAGCTGATGGCCAGGCAGCAGGTGACTGAGTGCCAGACAGGAGCAGAGGGCCAACGGCAGAGCCAGGGCCCCGTCCCCGAGGAGATCTCATGCGAACCTGGGGCCTGTTCAATGGGAGAAGAGGACAGGGTTGATCTCCGTGCTGGCTCGAGGTGGTGGGAAAGGATTCGGAATGGATTGCTGTCCTTGGAAGCCTATTTGGAGAATATAATCAAGTCCTAGCTGTCCCAGCCAGCGCCCTTCCTAGGGGTTTCATTTGCACGGGTTTCATTGGTCCCGTGTGGGGCCAGGTGTGTGCACAGCTCTGCTCTGTGGATTGTCTGCATCACAAGGAGATGTGGATGCTTGTAAGGGAGCTGCTGGGGAACATAACCAGCTGCGCTGATAGGGCCTGAGCCAGAGGCCAGGCAAGTCTTTTCACTGCACAGCCCTTGGCATCAGAGCACCTGCCAGGCATTCATGTCCACCAAGGTATGATCTGTGACAATATGGCAGTGTGCACTGGGCAGGAATGGCAAAGAGACCTTGCTCTCTACATGGGACCTGTGGCTGGCAGCTAAGTGATCCTGTTGTGGGGAAGCAATACCATCCTTCCAAGAAAGGCTGGCAGGCCCCACTGCCCCTGTGATGCACTGCCCCAGGGCTCAAGTTTTGGGCACAGTCTAGGACCTCCACCCCCAGCAGAGGCTACTGCAGTCACAGGAGGGAGGCAGGGTGCCTCTTAGGGCTTTTTCTCCAGCTTGAAGGCAGTTCAGGCAGCCTTTTCCAAGGGGCCCTGTCACCAGCTGGAACAGTCCCACACAGGGACTTCATCTCACCTAGGGATAAAGGGTAGCACATAACAGGGCACAAGGCCCCAGCATAATGGGCAGCTCATCTGAAGCATCCTCGCGGTCCCTGGGAGCCCATTTGCAGGATGCAGTTCCTGGGCTGCCAGAGGTGAGGGTGGGTGTGCAGTGTGGCATGCCCCGGGCAGAGAGGAGCAGATGGGCAGTGGGCTTCTGCCTGAACATGCCCACACTCCTTGTGGCTTTGCTGAGTGCTTCGATTTCTCAGCTGCCACTTCGCTTTGCAGCTCCTTGAGAACGAACTCAAGCACCGAGCTGTGGGTGGGTGTGACCATGGGGGAATCGGCTCCAGCCCACACTGCTCAGGGCTTCATCGGCACTTACCAGGGCTCAGGGCTTCTGCATCCCACACTGCGCTGGTGTGGGGGACATAGGGAGGGAGGGTATCTGCTGCGGGGGACTGCAGCAGTAGAAAGGAGGATGCTCTGAAGAGAGGCAGTAGTATATGCCTTCAGTGTAGGGCCTTAGTAGCGACAGCACAAGTTGTAGTGGGGGCATGTGGTACAGGGGGCACCTGTTGCCAGGGTTACCTGCTGCATGGTACTGAGGATACCTGTTGCCAAGGAAATGCGATATTTCGAGTCATGACTTGGCTGGAAAAGGAAATCTTGTGGTTTTTGGTGTTTCCAGTGCCCATCTCAGAGTGGCTGCCAGCACTGCCATGTATGTGCACACGGGAGGATTGAGTGTGCACTCCTCAAGGGGCTCTTTTTCTTTCTGCTAGTTCCTCTTCTCCAACTCCTAGACTCTATAGGGAAAGTGGGGAAATGCAGGGAAGGAAAGGGAAAGACTAGGGGGCAGAAACAGACCCAAATATTTTACGGCTGCTGCAGGCCACAGAGCATCCCCACATAGGTGCCTTCCCAAACCTGCTCTGGGGCTGGGCATCTCCACTAGGTGCCTGTGTCTCTCCAATTTGTCCACATCCTTTCTATAGTGGCAGGCCCAAAACTGAACACAGTACTCCAGATGTGGCCTCACCAGTGCTGAATAGAGGGGAAGAATCGCTTCCCTTGATCTGCTGGCAACGCTCCTGCCAATGCAGCCCAGTATGCCATTACCCTTCTTGGCAACAAGGGCACACTACTAACTCAAATTCAGCTTATTGTCCACTATAACCCCCAGGTCCTTTTCTGCAGAGCTGCTGCTTACCTAGTCAGCCTCCAGCCTGTCCTGGTGCATGGGATTCTTCTGTCCTAAGTGCAGGACTTTGCACTTCTCCTTATTGAACCTCATGAGAGATTTTGTTTTGGTCCAGCCCTCCAGTTACTCAAGGTCTCTCTGAATCCTATCCCTACCCTCCAGTGTATCTACTACACCTACCAACTTGGTGTCATCCTCAGACTTACTGAAGGTGCACTCCATCCCATCTTGATGAAGATATTGAACAAAACCAGTCCTGTAGATGCTGATTAGCTTGGGCAGCTTTGACAGAGGACTGACTGAGCAAATTGGGAGGAAAGCCTGCTGTCCAGTAGCTTGCCATGCATCTGGCCTGGCTGTACATGCTCCGGGCACACAGGCTACCACTGCTGGTCATGGTCACAATGGCTGCAGACCCTTTGCAGTAACGCTGCAGGTGGACTATAGCTTGAGCACGAGCATACAGCGCGACCTGGGACCTCGTGGCCCCATTCAGCAAACACCAAAGGCAGTTGATATGGCTCCAGCCACTCCCTTCCTCCCCCCACCCACCCTGTGGCAAGATTTTCTTTTCTTTTCATGTATATCATGCTAATATTCCAAGTGGGATAATGACAGTGCAAGGCATGATGGGTAATTGCGTGCTAATTGCCAGTTAGTCGGGAACTTATTTAGCAATTCTCTCTCTGTAGCTTGCCTAATTTGCAAGGGGAGCTTGTGTGTGTGTGTTTTTTGGGGGGTGCATTATATATGTAATTTAATAACCGGTTCAGACTTGAGGGAGAAAAATATGTGCAGTGGCACTCACTGGGAGGAAAGTGAGAAGACAGCCCTCCATCCTCATGCTCCAAGGTTTGCGCTGCATGCCAACCAGGGTCAGGAGGGCCCCCCTGTCCTGCCTCTACCTAGCCCTGTGCCACAATTAGCCAGGTAACTGAGATGGCCTGGCCAAGAGCACACTGCATGATGGGGTATTTGGGTTTTAGAGCCTGAAAGGAGGCTGCTGGAGAAGGCTTTCAAGGCTGCCTGACCCAGTGCAGGTGGAGATGCATGTCCCAGCACAGTTGGAGAAGGGTTACTGGGTGGCTGGAGCACTGCTGTGCCCCAGAGCAGGTGAAAACCAGACTGGACCCATTGCTGGTCTGCTGTGGCTTAGTCTAGCTCTGAGTTGGGTGTGAATGCGTCTGGGGCAAGCCCCCCTCCTCTGCTTTGCAGGCACTTTGAGCCTTGTTCCCAGTGCAATGCCAGCCAAACTTGGCAGACTTCACTGCTGAGCGGCCAGCCTATGAACAGCGCCATTGCCCCCAAGATCCTAGGGAAAGGGGGGAGGACAAGAAGGGACCTGATGGGCCAAAAGAGCCTCATAGCCCTCATAAGCAGAAAGTCTGTGGTTGGGACAGCCTGAAGTTTTGGGCCACAGCAGCAGTCCTTGTTCAGGCCTACTCAAGGCCAGAGCAGGGACTACAGCAGCTGGCCAGGTATTGCCACCTCTGTGGCATGGTAGCATCTATCGCATGCTGACAAGCAGCAGTGGACTGTGTTCCTGTGAACTCCATGCCCCAATTACTGTAACATGGCATAGCAGGCCGGAAACTGCTCTGTATTTGTGGAAGCAGCACTGAGCACTGTGGCACCGCGCCGGGCCCTCGTTTCTCCTGCACACTGTGCTGCTCACTACTGCAGAGCATGGGAGCCGCGTTTGAAGCCGGGTGCAGCTTAGTTCTGCGACCATCCTGGAGGACAGCTGTCATGGCCCCCAGGGAGATGCACACTCTGCTACTGCAGAGCGTGTATGCTCTGGAACGGCCTGCCTGGAGAGGGGCTGGGATCACTGGCAATGGAGGGGTTTAACTGGGAAGCAGAGGAGCAGCTGTCTGGGATGGTTCGGGTGGGAACAATCTTGCCTCGGGCAGGGGGTTGGACTGGATGATCTCCTGAGGCTCCATTGCCCTGTGGTTCTGTGATTATGGAGACCCCAAAGGCAATGAGGACATCACATGCACAGCCCCAGGTCCAGCTTGATCCTCTGTGGTGGGTCAAGGCAGAAGGCA